TATATATATATATATATATATATATATATATATATATATATATATATATATATATATATATATATATATATATATAAGACTCAATTGAGATCATGAGATATCGTATTTTAATTCTATTTCCATGTTTCATATGAGTAAGAAATTATAAATCCCTAATAATAAAAATCTTTCTTTTTACACATACATTATCTTCCTGTTTAATTAGACACTTTACTTTATTCCTATTTTGTTTAGTTTATAAATTTAATAAAATATCTTATTTATAGTAACTTGTCATATAGAAATGCATCATGTTAACAGTTAACCATATACATAACTATATACATAAAAATAAAAATATTTTTCTTTTAAAATAATACATAGATCCTTTCATCACTAAATAGTTGTTCCTGTCTAATTTGGGTGTTAACTAAAAGTTAGGTTCTTTTAGGATCTTTAGTTGTTTATTAGTTGATAGAGTAAATATTTATTGTTTATCAATGTTAAACAACATTGAGTTGATCAATCAAATTAACCAGTTATTGACATAGTTTCTTGTGATAAAATTAATAGGGAAGAAATATTAATTAGATTAAGTATTAAAAGAGAGGTAGTTATTTGTGTCAACTGTTTACGATGTATTGTGAATTTGATTTACTTACCTATACTATCACCATTCAATTATCTATAATATTTGGGACTGATTAAGTTGAACAGATTCAACTTAAGGTTTGAATACATTGAACGTTATCTGGAGCAAGCACAGTGACGTATGAAATACGATTAATCTTTGTTCATTCGATTTCCAATCCGAAACACGAGTAGGAGGACTCCAAAAGAAGCTATTATGTTAATCTTCAATTGAGAGTTTTCGGTTGTTTGATGTCAAAATTAAAACACCTAAAGATATAGAGTAAATGAAAATGTTGAGTCACTAAGGTCAGTTATTTTATATATAGGTTTTGGTAAGCAATTCAAATTGCAACGTATCCATCCTATAAACTGTTATTGTATTTAAAAATTATGGTGGTTGTGCATTTATTCACTTGCTTTTAACATGTTTATTGATTATGTACTCACCTCTCCTACTTCATGTGACTGGTTTGCCAACATTCAAATGTGCATCAATCTAAACGACAACATGTAGTCGGTGTCAATGCCAAGGTTAAAATTGATAATTTCAAACAAATTGAGCATTGATTAGAAAGTTAATGATAAACATCTTAATGTTAATTTATTTCAGTTATTTATTTGCTTTAAAGTTATGAAACGTCAAAAATATAATTTTGTCCTTATTGAGATATTACAAAAACATATTTACTATAACATAGTGTTAATTTATGGTTTTTCTCCTGACTCTTTATCAGATCTTTTGAACTGTATTAATCGTAGTACATTGAACCTTTGTCTTTAATAATGACACTACCTTAAACCTTTGAATATTTAAGGTTTACAAAAGCTTTATAATCGGATTAATTTACTTCATTGCTCAAATATTGAGTCTTCTACTGTGGTTAGTATTTATTACGTCTATAATTACTAAAGCACTAACCTGAATTGCACAATATGTCTTAAGATATTTAAAAAAAGATTTCTATGTATTTGATTAGTTACATATCCAAGTACAAAAAAATTAAATATGTCCCTTATTTATTTTTCACATGTATTCACGTAAACAATAACTTGTGGTCACGAATTTATTAAATTCATTGTACACATCTATGTGTATATGTTTTTAATTGTAAAACTAATCTTAGTGGTTCATAACATTAAACCTTGTTTATGAAGAGAATAATGAAGGCCATACTACATATTGAAAATGAAAAAGACAGGCATCAGCAACACAGAGCCTGATACAAATGTGCGTTGGCACAAGTTGCCATCCTACACCAGCACGACGAAAGAAAAATGGTAATATTAATAGTAAAAGCGATGAAAACAACTTAGTAACAATTAAAATCAGGAAGTTTGAAGATTGGTTCTGAAGAACAAAACAAAAGGATTTTTTGGAGAAATACTGAAATTCAAGATCAAGAGGAAGATAAAAAGTGAATCCATCTGTGTCATTATGAACAATTCCTAACGACCTTACACACAGTCTCCAACCACTGATTGTTGTTATCACGTTGATCCCAACCAGGTAGTCTGTATCTGCCGACATGGCTCAGGTCAGTAGTTAATCACGTCACGGACAAATTTTACATTTCGGCCTGGCTGTTGTTAGCCTTCTTCCAACCCAATTTTTCATCAGCGACCATCGCTTGTCGATGTAGGCATTGGTCATGTGTAAGTATGACATGTCCTCATGACCTCGGTCGACAAAGTTTCGCAACCTCATTAGCTAATCTGCCACCTTTGTATAATACTCTTTGAAAAACCTTTGCATTTTTCACTCGACCGTACCCCAAAACATAATTAATGTTTCAAGGATATGTATAATCCAAAGCTTTCATCCCACAGTCTTCTATCTTCACATTTCATGTTTTACGTTCATAAAGTATAACAGAGTGGATTGATGTCCAGTATTTACACACTTTGGTTGATGGATTGATATCTTGGCTATAGTGAAAGTAATGAAGTTGTCAAAGGTTAACAATGCTTCCTGAATCCATATCGAGGCTTCATAATACGCCAATTACTCAGGCTTGATGAGACTTACAAGATAAGTGGACTGGTTATTACACTCAACTAATCCACTATTTTCCACTGCTTTAGAAGTTGACAGGAACCAATTACGAAGCAATAATTTACATTTAGAGGGGGAAATTAAATAAAAAAGGGACAGCCGGCAACCTTGATAATCATCACTTAATGCTGACAATTCTGATGGCAATCAGATATAAGATTTGATTAGAAGAATAATCCTTAGGCAAATAACCGTCACAAAATCTTCATACTTGTTTCAAGTGCCGTTCTATCAGAGATATCGCTATCAACTGTAAGAAAGCTAATCAAATCGTTAGTATTTTTACGTATCAAATATCATTCTATTTCAATATGTTTTGAATTGAGTCATTTATATTTGCTAAACAGTTCAACTAAATATAAACGGAATAAATTAAGGTATCTCTATTCATTTGAATTATCTTTTTCACAAATGAGTAACATATGAAGCATCAGTATATGTTCCAGTTTATTGAGTCGCTTTAGTGATTTTTAATTTCGATATATTCAGTCGAGATGAAACATTCTAACAGCGTATCTCATCAAATGTTTCCCGGAGATGTAATATTTATTAACTGAAGTAAACATGAAAATTTCTCAACATTTTTAACACGGTGTCTCATGTAATATAAAGGTGTGAATAATAAATTAGTGGACTTTTCTAAAGAATATTTTGTTGGTATTTAAAAGTTTTTTTTCATCAGCAAGCTTAGTGTTCAGATTAGCAGACAGTTCTCATTTCCAGTACGGTTGATCACTTAACTTTCATTCTGAAAGTAAGTGAATATCAATTAGAAAACTTAGATAAAATATTTATTAGTTCAGTCTACTGTTAAATTAAGGCTAAACATGTATCACAAACACGATTCGCTTCCCGATGATTCCAAACTATGTCCACGTTTGGGCTTATCCGAAAACATTGTTTTTTAATTATGTAAATAACTATAATAGTTTGTTTTCTCTATCAACAGTATAGGCTTCGTGTTCCGCATTTCATCGGGATAACCATAGTTGATTCACAAGCACTGAATACACTACAATTCTTTGCTTACAAACTGTTTAAAATAATTCAACTCACTTTAAATTGGTAAACACCTAATCACACCATGCTTGAATCAAAAAAGAATAAAACTATAAACTTGTGCATCAGACACAGAGAAAACTTTTATTCATATTTTAGTTCAACAAAACATGAGTGTAATGTCCGCGATGAGCAACATTCATCTTTGTTGATAAGATTAGACAAAAAAAATTTAAAGAAGCTTGAGATTAGTTCTCCGTTTACAAGTTTATTACAAACTAAGTAAGTATTATGGAACCACTTATGATATGATTATTTCCTAAAAGTTTCATTTCTTAGAAAGATATGTATACGGATGAAGTATAACCAAATGGATACTAACTGCTACTAAGCATTAACACATCATTCTTTACTTTATGTAAGTAATTCATTGGTTACAGTCTTCTGTGAAGAGTAAAAGAATTGAGGTGTGAGAACAAATGATATGTATCTTTTCACTACACTGTTTGAAATGTTCTAGTAAACCCAATAGTATCTTCTTCAAATATTTTTATTGGACATCTTACAACTGTCTTCTTCCAGCATAAAAGTCAGTTGTCAGTCAGAGGCCACATACGTTTACCTACTGTACAAGAACAAACTGGTCCATAGCAATGTTATTTAACAATGAATTCGACATTAACCTCCTAAAGCTCAAACAATTATCAATAAATGCGGTATACTGTTCAATAATGTTAACTAGTAATCAGTCACTATAATCTTGAAGAAAATCTTCTAAGTTGTATTTTCTAGGTCTATCATAATGGCAAGAAAACGGAAAGTTACATGTTGCAGTTATTACATCCTAAAAAAATTATTTTTCAGGGATGATTTCATAACACATTTTTGTTCCCCGATCGACAGACATTCGTCCATAAAGGATACAGAACAATATGATTAGCTTCTGGTAATCAGTCTTTGGTTGCGTACGTAAGCACATGGTGAGTTATGCTAATAACTGTTCACACAGAAAGATAGCGTAGTCATATCATAATGAGGACAACATACCAAGGTAACAACATACATAGTGGAGATGACTCAATGAAGCTATTAACAAAGGCGTCTAGTCAAAACATAAACAAACTATCAATACATTAACCGTGAACAAATCAGAATTCATTTGTATGACAGAAATAAGTTAATAATCACTTCAATTTTATTGGCTGTTAACCTTATTTCCCTACTTAAAATTGACCAATCAAAAATGGAACTTACCCTTGTAAGCTGACCTTCAAGGCCATTTTGATACGAGTTAGACAGACACTAACAATCGAATGGCTTAAACATATGATACTTTATTATTCACAATTCCCATTTATTTGTAATTATAAAACAGTGCCAATAAAAACGATAGTTTTAGCATAAGTAAGCATCTATTCTCTTTGGATCTCTAGAAATATTACTGTAATTTCAGATCAAATGTGACATTAAAGCGACTAACTTTTATCAAATGGTTTTCTGTTTACTTTAAAATATCAAAGTTTTGTAAAATTTCCAATGATGAGAATACACATTTATAAAAATAGCATATTATAAGATTGAATGAGAAAAGGTTGGCAACAGGTTGTCTGTTAGTCCATACCTTTAAAATACTGATACTATCTATCAGAAATTCTCACATGGTAAATGAATTCAAATTCTACGTTTCCTGGGTCTAGTTGTAAAGAAGTACTGAAATCATTCTGCCGATGGACCAGTGTACGTGGATTACAACATTTATTACGCTCAGAACACCCATTACTACGAACTATTTGGGCTATATTCGTAGCTCTAATGTGTTTAGCTAATATTGGTTTAGTTACTTTGCTCTTGATACATTACTATCAATTTAATACAATTGAAAATATACGTACTCTACGCGGAATTCACGTAGCCTTTCCACATATCACTTTGTGCAATGTTGATCCAGTCAATTCATATCGTGTACATTGTTTACAAAATCCTAGTTCAAAATATTGTAATATCAACCCGAAATATTCAAATATTTTAACTAAATATCAAGAAGCCAATCGATACTTTAAGACATACAAAGGTTCAACTATCTGGCATAAATTAGAAGATCCAAGTATGGTGGCAATATTTTATCAATTAATAGGTATGGAAGCAGCCATACAAATTGGTCATCAAATTGATGATTTTATTATACCAATTTTTTGTGAAGTGACCACAAGGGAAAAAGGTGGAATATTGATGAAACGAAAATGTGAAGAAGCTGGGATTCAAGGTCTGCATTTAATTACCTATAAATACTTCAACTGTTATACCTTATCAATGGAAGATATTCACATAAGTCACAATGCTGTTCGACTGTCAATGATATTATATTTGGATGAAGAAGAAGATTTAAATTGTCGACCCTATTGTACACATGAATTTACAGAATGGGCTGGAAGTAAAATTGTTGTTCATTCACCCAGTTCATATCCTGACATTGAAGCATCTGCCTTGAATTTATTACCAGGAGCCTCGAACCAAATTCTTATCGATGGTATGCATCGCATCGAAAAAAAGAATATGGTATCAAAACCATGTGAAAATAATGAGCGAAATTTTTCCATTGTCTATTTCGATCATGCCCAACAAGTATTTAATCAACGAACTATGGGTTATACGGATACATTATGTATACAGTTGTTAATACAAAGTGCAACAATGGAAGAATGTCACTGTATTGATTTTCTGATGCCTATACCTGGTACACGAATGGATCTAGTTAATCAGTTACCATTCTGTGGTAATTTATCTCGCTCCACTGTTAATGAAAGTCTTGATTGTAGTCAACAGGTGAGACAAAAGAACTCAAAGTATTTCCATCTTCTATGCCCGATCCCATGTGTACAAATGCAATATAATTATGAATTGACTCAGTTAAGATGGCCACAAAAGCCACGTATATTAAATTATTATGCTCAGTTGAAAGATCGTTTCGATTATAACCGAAAATTCGATATTTATGAAAAGATTGAAGAAATCTCTATGGTCAATGCAACACAAGCTTTAACAATGCTTCAAGACACGGATATATTTGAAAAAAATTTTCTACATGTTGATGTTAATCGTCCAAATTTTGATACATTAATGTCTTATAGAGAAAATGAAGAATACACCTTACCAACATTATTAAGTCAAATTGGTGGAATTTGTAGTATATTTTTAAGTTTCACTTGTGTTACAGTATTAGAATTAATTGAATTATTATGTAGATTAATTATTATTGTCTGTCCAAGATTTTTAACTATTTCTAAAAATACAATACATTATATAAATAGGAAAACTTTAAAATTACATCATCCTATAACTATTAATAGTACTAATAACAATAATAACCCTATATTAATTGAAACCACAAATAACTTATCAACAATTTTATATAAAAAGCATCAAAATCACAAACATTGTGATGATTGTTGTAATTATAAAAATGATAATAATGAAATGAATTATTTAAAAGAAATGTTACTTACTACTAAAACGAATTATAGTAGCAATAGTAATATAAATAATAATAATAACATTAAACTTGGAGGACAATGTTATGTTGGTTTAACTAATTATGAAATAAAAAAATATATCGCTGATAATTTTATACAAATACATGAACCCGATGATAATTACAATTTATATAAGTCTAAAATACAATTTTTTAATTCAAATTATAAAAATACAAATCAGCCAATCTATAATTTAGATCATTCATTACATAATCCATCAAATATTTTAAATCAAAATAATCAATCAATAAATTATAAAAATGTATTCAATAGTTTAAATATTTATAAATCAATAACTAATCGAAATTCATTAATTCTGCCAACAATCAGAACAACAACGGTAACAACAACAAAAAGTATAATTAAATCGAAATCATTTCCTGACTTATTTTTATTACATAATAAGTTCAATTAATAATAATGAATAAAGATGATAATAATTGATGAATTTATTAATTTTTCATTTTTATTTGTTTTAAAAAAAAAGATAATAATGATATTGTTTCTAATATTCATTTACACATAATGATAAATGTTCCGATAAAGAATGGAATTTTATAAATTATAATTCTAAAATGTATGAATTACATTATTACTTTTGATATAGCTCAAATGTATAATTTAATAACTTGTATATAATTAATATTTTATGACAGTTATTTATGATATTATCAATGAATCATAATTTATAATTAATCACCATGTAAACTTAAATGAAACATAAAAAGATGAATAATATGAAACTATCTCAGGTTTACTTTATCATTTAAAATTCCGTTTTTTTTAAATGGTTTTTGGATTGTTTACCATTAGATTCATTGAAATAACTTTCTAAATCAATGCTTATAGATAAAAAAAAAATTGTTTGATTGATTTCGTTGAGTAATTGTATAAAATATTTCATTATCAATAATTATTTACATTAATTGTTTATGGTAACTAAAACAAAAATAATCACAATGAATTAACTAAATCATTATTGTAGTGATCCAATTCATGTTGATCATAAAGTAAATCACTATTCTTTTTTTGTATAAAACAGTTAACATCCAATTAAATTTTCAGATCATTCACCTTTCTAGTAAGTTTTATTCTTTTTTTTCAATTATTTCAATATGTAATAATATTTTTTTGATTAGAAATCGGAATACGAATCAGTCATGTTTTAATACTTTCTATTACTTTCTAATGAAATGGTTACTGGTGTGGTGTAGTGGAATTATACAACTGTTTTCTTTTTCATTTTTACGTTGATTTCAATGACATTCCAAAGTGGTTAATAATTCTTACATGTTCTAGATTAGCAGGGATAGATAAATTAATAAGTCATTATTATATTATCAAAACAACTAGGTTTAATACTAGTTTATAATCTATAAATGAAATATAGATCACAGCACTAATTATCAGTTTCAGTTTTTAAAACATTAACTCTATAGTTTTCTTGTCTAATCTTTGAAAATAATGAAAAACAATTATATTGGACTTCATGCAAATTATGAATGATGGGTGGTGAAATAATTGTAATAGCTAAACAAGTAGAAGATATTCGTGATTGAAAGTGTGTGATAGATACAGACCGTTAGAAACATTTATTAGTTATATATTTTTGATAATAATTTGAATGCATGTTAAACAAAAATGTGTCGAAAAAAATGTTGTCGTCAATGTCCAAGACGTTTTATTACATATAAAGTATTAGATAGAAATGCAGAACATGCGAAAGTCTACTGTTATTTCTCGTACACATCGTTATCCCATGTAAAATCAGTGCATATTATTTGATATTTTGGACAGATGAAATTCCTAACTATGGTTTTAATAAACTACAAAAATATTTTGTTTAAATTCAAAGAAAAGCACAAATTAATCTATGATTTCATCGGCCCGTCAGCCTCAAATCACGATCAGAATAATAATCTACATTAGTTTTTCACAAAGACGTAAATATTGATCTATTCGTAATTAACAAATGAATGAAACACAAAATTCTATTGAAAATCAAGTTTACGATTAAAATGACGCCTATATAGTTAGTTTCAAATCAAAGTTTAAATATAACCATCAAATACGATTTCTATTAATATCTGATCAAACAACAGTTTAGAATGTTTACTGTCTCATAAGCATTCAGTAACTGGATATTAGTGAGAAAAGTAAACATAAATCATTCTAAATCTCATCAAATTTATTTTATTTCACTTATCTTCGTTACATAAAATATTATAATTAGAAAAAGGACTAACACATCCTAATAACTAGACTACTAATTATCAATCGAACAACATGTAGGGAATAAAAGTTAGAAATTGTAGTCCAAATGATTGTTTGAAGATATTAACTATTTATAGGAATTTAATGGATGTGAAATTTTCAAAAGATTAACTATTAGTGCATAATAATTAGGTAACCTGAGTTGTACAGACCCATTAACATGTGATTGCAGGAAACAATTTAATTTAGAGTGATTTAAAGCCAGGAAGTTGGGTTATAAGGAAGTTGTGAAATTGTTATACCTATATAATTAAGTACTTTTATAAAATGTAAAGAGTTGAAAAGTACTTTATATAGCTGGAAAAAAATAGCCTGATTTCAGTTTGCTTACTTTGTACTCCCTAGATTGACCACATTTGTAGACAACGATGAAATTTAGTTCCCCATTTAATCTAGTATTCCATACTGCGGTCAACCAAATTGTGTTAAGGATACAAAAAACTGATATATGAATTGTATTTGGATAATACATATCATGCATACAATGCAAATTATGGTGGCTTTTCTGGCCCACTCAATCTAATAACTTATGAATCCTCTTACACATACAAATAGACACGTATAAAATATAAGTAAATAGATACATACAGAAAATGTACACGCATATCACTATATAGTAAACGCACAAAATAATTTAATAGGATAAAAAATGACGGGATAGGATTCATGTCCGTGATTTCGCAGCATATTTACTTCTCAGTATTCAATGTATGTGTAATATATGATATTTACCATTCATTTAATGAGGGAGTACTGCATATAAAAGTATAATTTTCACCATTGATTTTGTAGTGAACAAGAACACGAGTGGGGACAAACAGATGTGTTTAACACAACAATTACAGTCTATCTCAACAAAATCTGAATACCATATAGTAAATCGTCAATTTGCAAAATATTCATGCATCAAACCAAACTGGACTGTTTCTGTTGCAAACACCAATCCATTGTCTCCCATTCCATTGTTCGTGCATTTTCTTACAAATTCCACTGTGTTCTCGCTCTACCATTCTTGATCTTCGCTGTCTTTTGCTGCCAGACATTACGTTCCTTTAACGCACGTTATATACTACTTATATCAATATAAGTAGCTCACACCACAATTTCATTTCATGCTCTTACTTTCACTTTATCTGCATTTCTGATTCAGGGATTTGAGATGCGCTACATTAGCGTATTCATAGGAAGCAGATATAGGCAGCTTTAGAATATTAAAATGCAGTCCTTTATGAAAATTCCACTCTTGCATACATTAATAATAAACTAAACGAAAATATACTAAAAAATGACAGATATCGCACTTTTGTTGAATATTGGAAACAAAGAGGTTATCCTCACACTTTCTAGGTGAATAACTTGTGATACTAAAACCTTACGAATCAACCACTGAAATAATATTATACCTTCAAAAAAAGAGAATCAAAATAACTTGTTTAATAACGAAATAATGAAAATGATATTGATTGTTATCTCTTTGATGCCTCGCAAATTGAAATTTTGCTAACCATTTTGAAAACATTTTCAATCTTAATCCTTTACTTCTTATTGATAGAAAAGTCATAAAATCAAAATGATCATATTCTGCACAATAATGATATGAATGTCGGAAGACAAAGATGTCATAATTAACAATGATAAAAGATATGCAGAATCATGAGCTTAATCCAATCTCAATATATTAACAACTGACTATTTGAAATTGATTAGTGTTTGATAACGTTAAAGAATATTTTATTAACATATAGATTATACTCGGATGATATATGAGTTGCAGTACAATAGTATCAGTGTTATATTTCCTATTATTGTTAGAAACTTAAACACAGTGTAAAACATGAATTTACCGTTCGCTTTATCAACACTCTGTAACAAATCAAATATTGAAACAAATGAATGAATAAAAACCAATTGTCAGTTCTTAGAGAATTAGACAACACAAATATTAACTATTGATTATCTTCAAGAGTGAAATGTAGCACTAAATTGTTGTTGTGCTATCTTAAGAATTGAATAACGTCTAAAAGTGTAAAACCTTCGGTTTAGGGATTAAAAGATTCTGTGCTTGCTATGAGACATGAAAGCTCTGTGTATGCAATTCTGATAAGTCTCTAATTAGAATAACCCAGATGCTTAGTTCACTGATTTTTTAACTGATATGAACTTGTGATAAATCCTATCTCTCAAATCTCATCATAGTAAAGTTAGTACACAAAACGATAAATAACCAGGAATCACAATGAAAATTAAGTAATATTGATTGATATTTAAATCTATTTTTGAATTCACTAATCAACATAATGCATTCAAAACATTTCATTTAAAGGAAATATTCTCATACAAAAAACAATTTTCATGTCTTCATGTCTTCATTTATGCATAATTGATCAACACTGTTTTCTTTTTATTCGAATTATAAAACACTAATTGTTTTCGGTATACTGACTTATGAATTTACATATGTATATATATACGTAAATTTACGAATATTCTAATCATTAACTGAATTTAAGGAAGCTTAATTGAATTTAATGAAAAAATAAAGACTACCATAATCTAGGCCATTTTAATTAAGTTAAAACAATTGCTTTATTATTATATTAAATTCATATGAACATGTTAGTGACTTATTAAGAATAAAAACATTATGAACCCAAGAGAGTTCATTCTCAGATGACAACATTTATAAAATACATGGAAAGACTAGTACGTATTACTGGAAAAGTTTATTTAAGGAACATATACATGGTTTTACTATATCGTATCCAATTTACTTTGTTTATGTAAGCTTATATTATGTTTAGTATATGTGATGTTAAGTAATCTGCTTTTTGAGGAAATGATCCATCTGTATATGTATTTTCCTAATGATAATGTAGATATCATTCCGATTCTTATCAAAAATAAGGTTAACGTTAACAGTAACAGTGAAATACTTAGCCATATTTTATCCTATTAGATTTTGTTTTGGTAGATCAAAATACCATTGAGAACTATGGATTACTATATAGTCACTTCAGTCACCTTTTTAGTGGTTCGTCCATATTACAACAGTTTTATTATTTTTTCGTAAGAAACAGAAAATCCAAATTATCGGACATTCATTTGATCTATATGTTTAGTCATGTTGATTGGTTTAAATAACTTCATGTAATCAGCCATTTAGAACTTGGATAACTCGTCTAGTTTAAACTTTATATTACAATTATAAAACCTATGTTTTAAGCTAAATGTAGTCAATAAACAGTAAATTACTGGTAATTTTCAAGGTTCCAAAAAATCAACGTGTTTGAATATTATTTATACAAAGAATCGAGAATCTCCGATAGTTTGATTTCTTCCAGAAAAAGCATTAAACTCATAAGCTCTATATCTTGTGTGCTCGATAAATCTACATAGTTGGTTAAAATTCTAAAACTTATTAATTTTAAGACGCATAACAAGTCTGCATACATCTTAGTGAATAAAATCCATGGTTTGCCAGTTCAGTCAACTTTACATGAATTATCAAGGACATTGACCTGCTACTATTTACCTCAGTGATCAGCATTTCTAATATAAATATATTTGAAAATTATGTTTATTAACTGGTACTTATGAAAGTCCGTTTAGTGGATATGAAACAGCCAAAAAAGCAAAAGATTTTAATGAAAGCCTAGTAATGTCATACAGTCCATGAAATGTTGCGTTCGAACATTTACGACTGATTCAGAGCACTCATATAGTTAGAAAAGTCGCTACTTACATGCACTTAAAATATGTTTGAAACCAATAACACCGTCGGTAAATTGAATATTAGGTTAGTTCATATCCTTGTGCTATGAAAAATATCATTACCCATACAGTTTCAGAGTAACGTTATTGTGGCATTGTACTGATAAGGTCTTTCGCAATACTATACCATTTATCAAATGACATGTATAATAGTCTCAGAGCTGTAAAATCATTTGTTTAATCTGACATGTAAACAAACACAAGAGGAAATGTAACATAACACATTTATTGTAACAATCAAACTACTGTTCATTTGTAGCGGAGAGCATGCTATAATACAATTTTTAACTTGGAAACATTCATTTTAAAAATCCACCTGCTCTTCACCAGTTTAAAGTATGTTTTCAATCATGAGAAATTCAGAAGTTCTATGTTCCATCTTGATAGCGTAAATTGATCCTAACAGAGAATAATACTGAAAAATTACATAATTAATTACTGAATTTATAGAAAGAAAGGAGATAACTTAAGGAATGGTTAATTAGTTTTATCAGCGGAATAAAATAATTGTTTAATATTTCATGCTCCTTAATAAATCTTTCAACATTTTTTTGTCGACAGAAACATACTAATATGCTATTGTTTGTAATTAACTTTTAATATGTCTATATAAAAACGTTAACAGTAAGTACTGAAATGTACACATTAAAGAGGAAGAATGTATTTGTAAAATCTCAGTAAATGAATTTGACGTAAATCCAACGTTTCACCTGGCAATCTTTTTCAAAGAAATATAATCAAACATCAAAATTATCGAATATAAATAGGTACATAGTTCTCTGTATACTGAACAGGTTATCCAATCAATGTTGATCATGTTAAAAGTAGGTATTTGCATTTGTGTGTAAGAGACATGTGGTGTGAAACGAAAAGTGTTAAGATAATGGATTGTGTGTATACGTATGTGGTATGAGGAGAAATTTCATTCATTATATTTTGTCTCTGGTCGATGAATTTTAAGAAAAAATATAATGAACTGTACACGCTTGTAACAATCAGTTTGTTATAGCAAACTATTACATCTCCTTAGCTATTTATGATACATCTTCCATCTGATTTCACTTCAAACATCCCTATTTAAAATAATAAAAATACGGATATATTTGAAATATCATGATAAATAGAAAATCAAATTTCTGACGTTTATCAGCTTATTATATCTTTCTTCTTTAGAGAAGCTTCTATGGGATATTACGAATGTATTAATATTTTTATTACCTAAAATCTACCTGATGAGCAGTTTCATTAAAATTGTCAAGTCCCGGCAATAATACTTACAAAATAATTACTAACTGAACTCCCATTAAACATTAACTTTGACGAGTTTGACCCAAAATATTTAACTGTATCCTAGATACCCTTATCTAAAAAATTTATATTTGATCTGTTATCTAAGTTCTAAAGTTTTACTTTTGATTTGGCCAAAGATCAGTTTTGGTTGTTTTTCGTGTACATGTCAATAGAGACATCTGTTATGATATTTTTGTAAATTGAATTACAACAAATTTTAGATGACCTTGTATAAGCAGAAAACTTAATCGTTCGATAATTCTGGATAAATTTGATGATTGTTTAAATTATTGTTTTACAATTTTCATTCCTCTACTTTATATAATCATGTAATTAATGATTTGCTACATAACTGTTTCTCTTATTCGAGGACTCTAAAGACATTAATGATAACTATTGTAGTTCACGATCAGTTTTAGTATCTTCAAATGAAAGTGACACAAGGCATCTATTGAACAAACTTTATTTTCTAGCACTTTTTATCTTTAAACAAGCTCATTCAATTTCCATTCCTGTTGTTATATCCTCTCATTTTATCTGATTGATTAGAATGTATATGCCCAATGTTCTAATTAATATCCAATTTTTCCTTATTATTAGTTATACTATCTTTGTAAGTCGAATGTAAGGAAAGATCGAGTTACTGTTGGACTTAATAATTTGAATACAATTCATTGAATATACAGAACATAGGTATTGAACTAATAATAGGTAATATTGACATTTCTTCATGGAATAGCTAAGTAAGAAAAGGATAGTAAAAATTGACTTTTAGTTGTTCTCGTTTATAAAATAGAATCTTTACAGTATTGTGTCAGTCAAAAGAAACTATATATAGACAACCAATATATGCATAAAGTAAAATTCACCCCATCGGACAAACTAGTGGTTATCTGGACTCAGCAGCTAAGTGGATAAATCCAAATCCCGGAGTAAACATCAACTTTTGGATTATTATGCGTTCAGGTGACGAGTCCCAAATAGGATTGCTAGCAACCATTCATCTCTGCTTATAATGTTTGTAACTTAAAGCAATATCGAGGCAATCCGCATGGGATCCACATATGCCGATAAGTGACTGATCAGTTGCAATCCCAAACGCCAATGGGAAGATTCAAACAACCAATACAGGATGAACAACCTTTTCAGTACTTCCTAATAGTCAGTCGCCCTGTATGTGTTAGCACTTATTTTTAAAATTTTCTTCACATTTGCTATTTTAGTAAATCTAGTTTTTACATCACTGAACTTTCTTAATCCATAATGCATGTTTGTTTCCGAGTATCAAAAAACAGGTGGATCTTTTTAAATAGATTAGACTCAATCTCCATTATTGACATGAACTAATGTTATTCATTACTTCAAACTGAAGTGTTATCAGTGAGCTATATAACGACTAATAAGATGCACCGTAATGTTCACTGAATATTTGCTGACAACACTTTATTTGATATGTAAATCTATCTGTATACCTCGCCCTATATATATATATATATATATATATATATATATATATATATATATATATATATATATATATATATATATATTACATATGGTTGACTGTTTAAAAGTGTTGATAACAATCAATGATTTTAACTGAATATTTATGAGGGACGTAGTAAAAGGCATGACTGTTTTTAGTTGACTTACAATTGTGTAAAGAATTATTTTCCTCATTCATACTGAGCTTTAACAAAGGGATGTTTTACCACTGGCACTGTCCAGCAGTAATTTGTGACCAGGCTGGTGATAGTTCCCGTGCCGGTACATTTTCTGAAGGTATGATATTAAATCAGCTACAGGTCTCATAGAAGTCATTCTTAAGAATGCTGAACTAACTAAAAAGATTGTTTTGAAGGATTTACTTATGGAGAATTTATTTGAAAAGCAAACAAACATGCTTTATAAATTTATATAGCCGGTTTTTTTCTGATGATAATATTATGTGCTAACTCAGCCTGTCTCAAAAATGCTTCCTCATCGATCAACAAATGTATAGTCTTCAAAAGAATCCGAGTAGTTATGTGGGAAATATGTGTCCATAAAAAGATCTTTAAGAATAAGAGAAAGGACTGAGTTTTGGTCAAAATAATGTGGTGAACTATACGGTAGACATAGCGTGAGCGTAAACTCGTAAGTCAAAATATGATGAACAGATCTCTTATGTAGATATCTTCCATGCCTGAGGAGAATAAACTGAAATAAAACATAAAACCAGCTCGTCAAGACTAATTTATCTTCTTATCTAATCACTTAGAACGCTAAGAAGAGATGTACTATATTAATATAAAATTCAGTGTATATACCATTTGTTCAACCCTGAAAATCATACGTTAGCCAGTTAATTTTCATCAACTTTTTTCAATCCGATTAGTGTTCTTGTGCATTTTTTATTGAGCGTCTTAGTTAAAATTCTAAACCATTAGCTTACAATATCGATTAAGTATTTAAGAACTGCGATTAGTTAAGTTGGATAAACAACAGGGTTCTTAGATATGACTGTTATCTTTTAGATACAATCAAATTAGTTTACACTCGACTATCATTTATTACAACGCTCCCTTTTTAACATGAACAAAGTTCATATCCGAGACAGATTGAATAGTAAATGAAATTACTCATTTCCTAAGAAGTAATTACCTGAATTGCAACTTTGAAAATCTCAATCACAAAGAAGGTTGCTGCTGAAATTGACATGTATACACAACTTTGTGAGGTTTATTCAGTAATCCACCATATTCGACCACAACATTTCCTTTTATCGTACATAGAAAGTTTATATTTCCAAAATAACCTGGGTAATGTGTAGATACTACATACTGTATAAATTCTTGAAGAAAATAACCGATACTTTCATGTGAAGATGAATGACTTAGAAACTAACTGTATTTCTTGTACTTTAAACTTTGATAAATAATACTTTCGTTATTTTAGAACTATTTAGCATTTGAGATTGTTTATGTGCTCAGTATTTTCAGACCTCTGTCACGTTTACAGCATTAAGCGAGCAAGATAAAAGTTTGATTTTATTAGTACTAGGATTAAAGAACATTTACCAACAAGTACTGAATACTGTCAGATTGAAAATCTTAAATTTGCCTTTATTTTTTTTATTCTCATTTCTAAATGATATTTGTAAGATCGCCCATAATCGTTTTCGGTCATTGACTATAGGTGACCAGTTACAAATTTGATTTCAAAACTCTTAATTTATCCCCAACCTGAGTGAAATCATTAATTGTACCAAAGGCTGTTGGTAGTATGAGATTTATAATTGTGTGAGTTTGATTAATTTGATTAATATTGGTTTTTGTTCTTTTTAATCGAAATTAAAGTTAGTGAAGCTCAGTTATGTCTAGTAAGTTCAGAGAAGCGAAATTAAAGTTTGTGAAGCTCGGTTATGCCTAGTAAATTCAGAGAGGTGTATTTCATTTAGAATACACGAAAAAAAAAATTAACTAATTATCAACAAATTCAGAACAAAATAAAACTCATCTTTAGTACGATAATAGTTATATATCAATAGTTCTGTTTTCTGAACAATGCATCGTTTGGAAAAAAAAACTAAACAGAAATTTTTCAGGTTTCTATAGTAGTTTTTCTATGAGGCTTGGAATAAATCACTTGGCTTTCTATTCATAAAAATGCATTCAAATACTGTCACCTTAAATAAAATAATTGTAAGACATTAGTTAATTTTCATATGAGGTTACATAGACTTAAGTTAGCAAGTGGTCAGATTTTCGGTCTGTTTAGTCCAATTTGACAATGAATGTTGGTTAGAAAATCTTATTGGTTTTTTCTGTCTATACTATGTGTGGTGAGATACATTGAACCTTAGCAGCTGAAGAGGGTAAAGTGAGTATGTCGAATAATCATTAGGATATGCATTGATATTCACCTCTCATTAGCTGAATATTAGTTGTTAGTGAAAATCGGTATTTTTAAATCTTAATGTAAATATCATAATAAAAGATTGTAATCGACGTCGTAAATTCCACTACCGGAGACTGTTAGGTATAAACTCTTCCCTACTTGTGAAATAATACCTCACAAAACTTTGAAATGTACTATAGAAAAAAAATACACAAGTAAGCGTATAAATTGACTTTGTTGTTAGTTTGAAAACAATATGCAACTCAAAATGAATACAAAGGATTACGACTGGTAAAACTTTCTTCCAAGGTTTCATGAAACCTTAGTAATAAGCAACTATCAGATCTGTCGAGATCAAAAATGAAATGTTTAATCACTGTAGCAAAGATACTTTCATCATACTATTATTTTACTGCATTCTGCAACATTAACATTATTATATAGCATGATCTCCCGCTGGGCTGACCATATAAATCAGGTGAATATAAGCTAACTAAAATTACTAGTTGGGCAAAAACATTCTTAGAAAATGACGATCATCAGTTTTGAAACTATCATTACAAGAGTAAAGAATTTAGCAAATAATATGTATGTATTAAGCTCAATCATTGAATTACAAAAGGGGATAATTGATTTCGTCATACGGCATTTGTTCGATAATTAATATCGTATAATTCATGCTTCGTTCATAAATTTATATTAAAATCGAATACAAATAGTTCATGGAGAATTATTTTAAAGATTATCACTTGCTACCAGTATATCAGAGTAAAACATAAATCATTTTATTACATACGACTTTATACAGTTATAAATCATAAACGTTGTGTAAATAACGTTCATATGACAAAGTAAATCAATTCTATGGTTGAATAAGGTTGTAATATATATATATATATATATA